TATTTATTATGATGTTTGAGATATTGTGCTTATATTATGATATGTGTAGGTACTTTTCTTGTGAGTTCTGTACCTGCCTTGGTGTTATTTGACTCGGGTGCGAGACGATCTTTTGTATCTTTAGCCTTTAGTCATCACATCAGTACCCGTCGAGAGGCGTTGAGTCGACCTCTGCGAGTTTCCATAGCTGACGAGCGAACGGTGTACGCCACTAATGTGATTCGAGGATGTGTACTCGAGATCTTCGGCGTTGAGTTTCCGATTGACTTGGTCCCGATTGCGATGGGTGATGTATGTGTCATCGTGGGCATGGACTGGTTGAGCCGATTTAGAGCGGTTATCGACTGCGAGCGACAGCTGGTGACCATACGAGACCCTAGTGGGGGAGTTCTTACGGTGTACGGCGAGGGTACCCGTTCCGGGTCAACGTTCTGTTCGGCGGCCAGAGCGAGGCAGAGTCTACAGCAGGGCTGTAGTGGGTTTGTGGCTTACGTGGTGGATACGAGGATTGGTGAGGAGAGACCGAGATCAGTTGATGAGGTTCCGATAGTGCACGAGTTCCCGAATGTTTTCCCCAAGGAGTTGCCGGGTGTGCCTCCCGAGAGGCAGGTAGAGTTCCGCATCGATTTGGTTCCGGGGGCAGCGCCTATCGCCTTGCGCCGCCAGAGATGCAGGAGTTATCCTCGCAGTTTCAGGAGCTGATGGGGAAGGGATTTATTTGGCCGAGTAGCTCGCCGTGGGGAGCGCCGATCCTTTTTGTCAAGAAAAAGGATGGTTCACACCGGATGTGCATTGATTACCGGGAGTTGAACAAGTTGACAGTCAAGAACCGTTACCGCTTACCGAGGATCGACGATTTGTTTGATCAGTTGCAGGGAGCGTCTTGGTTCTCGAAGATCGATCTGAGGTCTGGATATCATGAGATGAGAGTGCGCGATGGGGATATCCAGAAGACAGCATTCAGGACTCGTTATGGGCATTACGAGTTCGTGGTGATGCCTTTCGGGATCACCAATGCACCGGCGGCATTCATGGGCCTCATGAACAGAGTGTGCAGGCCGATGTTGGATCGTTTGATGATCGTGTTCATTGATGATATATTGGTGTATTCGAGATCCAGGGAGCAGCATGAGGAGCATTTGAGGGAGATCGTCGGAGTTCTGAGATCGGATAGGCTTTATGCCAAATTCTCCAAGTGTGATTTCTGGTTACGAGAGGTCCAGTTCCTGGGGCATCTCGTTAACCAGAATGGGATATTGGTCGATCCGGACAAGATTGAGGCAGTGGTGAGTTGGGAGGTGCCGAGATCCCCCACCGGGATATGGAGTTTTCTGGGGTTGGTCGGCTATTATCGGAGATTTATTAAGGATTTCTCCAAGATTGATGTTCCTCTCACCAGGTTGACCCGGAAGGGCGTGGCTTTCAGTTGGGGCCCAGAGCAGCAGGCCTCCTTCGAGACACTTCGCCAGAGATTATGCGAAGCCCCAATGTTATCCCTTCCAGAAGGGATGGAGGATTTTGTGGGATATTATGATGCATCGATTTCGGGATTGGGTGCGGTGCTGATGCAGTGGGGGCATGTGATAGCATACGCATCGAGGAAGTTGAAGCCTCATGAGACGAGGTATCCCACTCACGATCTGGAGTTGGGGGTTGTGGTGTTCGCCCTCAAGATCTGGCGTCACTATTTGTATGGAGTTTCGTGTACCATATACACGGATCACAAGAGCTTGAAGTATTTGATGGATCAGCCCAACCTGAATATGCGCCAGAGGAGATGGTTGGATGTGTTAAAGGATTATGAGTGTGAGATCCTGTACCACCCGGGCAAGGCTAACGTTGTAGCCGATGCCTTGAGCTGTGGCAGAGAGTGCCCCGATTCGTGATGTTTGTTTGAGGTTGACGGTGATGACTCCGGTGTTGGACACCATTCGGGAGGCTCAGGTTGAGGTCATGAGGCTGGAGAACCGCAAGAGAGAGCGGGTAGTCAGGCAGGTGTCTGAGTTCGTTGCCGATAGCCGAGGACTTATGACCTTCTAGGGTCGGGTTTGGGTGCCGTTTGAGGGCGGGGCACATTCCATTCTGATGGAGGAGGCGCATAGATCGAGGTTCTCGATCCATCCCGGGGCCACTAAGATGTACTTGGATCTGAAGAGATACTATTAGTGGCCCTGTATTGCATGGTTTGTTGAGAGGTGCTTGACCTGTCGCAGGGTTAAGGCCGAGCACCAGCATCTGCATGGCAAGTTGCAGCCACTTGAGGTTCCCCAGTGGAAGTGGGAACAAATTTCCATGGATTTTATCACCAAATTGCCGAGGACTGCGAGGAGTGTCGATGCAATTTGGGTGATCGTTGACCGGTTGACGAAGAGTGCTCATTTCCTTGCCATCAGTGAGAGCTTTTCTGCAGAGAGGCTGGCAGAGTTGTATGTGAGGGAGGTGGTATCGCGGCAGGGAGTACCGATCTCGATTGTCTCAGATCGAGATGTGCGTTTCACTTCCAGGTTCTGGAAGAAATTCCATGAGGAGTTGGGTACGAGGTTGCATTTCAGTACCGCTTACCACCCCCAGACGGACGGACAGAGTGAGCGGACGATTCAGACGCTCGAGGATATGCTTCGGGCATGTGTGTTGGACTTCGGAGGAAGTTGGGACACGTATTTCCCATTGGCTGAGTTTTTCTATAACAACAGCCACCATTCGAGTATCGGTATGCCTCCCTTCGAGTTGTTGTATGGGAGGAGGTGTCGGACTCCCATATGTTGGGGAGAGGTAGGGCAGCGAGTGATGGGCAGTACTGAGATAGTGCTTCAGACGACAGAGCAGATACAGCAGGTCAGACAGAGGTTGTTGACAGCTCAGAGTCGCCAGAAGAGTTATGCGGATAGGCGACGATCCGAGCTTGAGTTCCAGGTGGGAGATTTCGTACTCCTGAAGGTATCTCCTTGGAAAGGAGTGATCCGATTCAGGAAGAGGGGCAAGCTGGGGCCCCGGTACATCGGTCCGTTCAGGGTAACCGTGAGGGTGGGAAAGGTAGCATATCGTCTGGAGCTACCTGCGGAGTTGAGCCAGATTCATGATACCTTCCATGTGTCTCAATTGAGGAAGTGTATAGCCGACGAATCGGCGGTGGTGCCATTGGAGGATATTCAGGTGGATGCGAGCCTGAATTATGTTGAGAGGCCAGCTGCGATTATGGATCGGAAGATCAAGGTTCTGAGGAACAAGGAGGTGCCCCTGGTGCAGGTCCAGTGGCAACATCGGAGAGGGTCCGAGCTAACTTGGGAGTCGGAGTTGGAGATGCCTGAGCAGCATCCAGAGTTGTTTGCGGAGTAAGACTTCGAGGGCGAAGTATGATTCTAGTGGGGGAGAATTGTAACATCCGGATGTCCAGGTATTATATTTTATCATTTATTTTTGAGTTTAAGAGGTGGACTCGACGAGTTGACGCTTAGACTCGTCGAGTAGGATCGCGATTGCTAACTGGATTAATGAAGGGACTCGACGAGTTGGAAAGGAGGGACTCGACGAGTCCGCGCTGTAAGCTGAAACCCTAAATCCCCGGGCCTGAGCCCTATTTAAAGGACCTTATAGCCCTCTTGTGCGGCTACCTGTCCAGAGAGAGATACCCTATTGATCTTGAGCGAGTTGTGAGAGAGTTTGAGCATCTTTGATCATTTTTGGTGTGATTTTGCAAGGAGAAAGTGTTTCCAGCAAGGGGAGGTCAAGAGGATTGCATTTCAGTGGGTTTTCAGCTTGGATTTCAGCTTTGAGGTAGCTATTCGATCCTATTCTTCTGTTTTGCTTAAGAGCATTGAATTTAGGGTTTTCTATACCCTTTTATGGCTTGTTTAGTTGAGTGTAGTGTCCCATTGAGTGCTAAACTCTAGATCTGGACCTTTTGAGGTCCAGAGAGCCTGAACCATTCTGCTTTTTGTGGTGGTTCTATGGAGGAAATGGACATAGGTTGCCATGTTAGAAGGGATTTCACCAAAATAAGTCATGGGTGCAATGCATGTGTAGCAAGATTCGACCTTTACGTGGTTATTGGTCATGGGGAAGTCAGATCTATAGATTAGAGGAGCAGATCTGACCTCAGGAGGTCAGATGAGTGTTTTCATGGGAGCAACTCGCCGAGTTCATAAGTGGACTCGACGAGTCGAGTCGAGGTTGCCCCGCGATTCGTTGCTGAGTAACCCGGTGAGTGGAGAGGGAACTCATCGTGCCAAGCGAGGCTTAGAAGGATTCTGAGGGCCAGTGTGGACTCGCCGAGTCGCCCGAGTGCACTCGACGAGTCTGGTCAAAGTTTGACCGTTGACCGGAGTTGACTTCTTTGACTTTTAGGGTTTAGTCAATGTTTGGACTTATGAGCCATTAGAGGGGTAGAATGGTCTTTTACCCTTCTTAGAGAACTTATAGAGAGGGGTTAGTCTAGCCTTTAGAAGTTGTATTAATTAGAGTAATTATTTATGTGATTCGGCGGAGGCTAGTGTAGTATTTCAGAGTTCGAGGTTTACCGAGTTATCTGAGATGAGTCTTCTCACTATACTTTACCTTGAGTGGTAATTAGAGTTATGTGGAAGAGTATCTTGTATGCTATTTATGTGATGTGTTGCACTGCATTATTTCTATGTGATTTATGCTGTGTGTATTCCAGAGTTTACAGAGTTAGGACCGGAAGGTCCACAGAGTTAGGACCAGAGGGTCCACAGAGTCAGGGCCAGAAGGCCCACAGAGTTATAGCCTCGAGTGGCTAATATGTGTTATATGTGGTATTTTGGGGAACTCACTAAGCATTTATGCTTACAGTGTTTTGTGTTATGTGTTTCAGGTACCAGTGAGGATCGCGGGAAGGCGCCGGCATGAGCAGTACACACATTATGAGTTTTTATACATTATGATCTTGGGTTGTGTTTTATGGATTGATATGTGAAACAATGAGATTTTATAATATTTATGAATGAAAATATGTTTTAAAATGTGAAAAATTGTTTTGAAATTTACGGTGTTACAAAGAGACTAAAAAAAACTGTGTGATCTTTAACAGATGCATCCCTGTAACAAAAGAAATTGTTCTGAAGAAATTTAATAATTCAAATCACATTAAAAAAACCTTATTTTTAATGAATTACATAGTACAAACATTTTCTGTTCACAATAATGCTCTTCATGCAACTGTTGTTGAGTTAAAGAAACATCAAAACCCTGTTTTCTGATACTGAAAAGCTCCTTAAGATCCTGAAATAAAAAAAACAAATAATATATATATATATATATATATATATATATATATATATATATATATATATATCAGTTTCCATAATTTATTAATAAAAAAAATAATAAGAAAATACTCACTTGTTGACTGAAATACGGAATTTGCTCTTTTTGTTCAGTAACACTTATGAATAAACCCCCTTTGTATATGAAAATTATATTAATATTAAAATAAAACTACCTTATATATCAATGCTTGCCTTACTGTATTAGGTAAGTGTTCTTCTGCCCTGAAGCACAAGTGTTCAAAATCGCCAAGTGTGTCTAGATTCCAACTAACCTTTACACAACATCATTAAACAATATCAAATTTTTAATGTCTGATAAGTTATTAAATTAATTTTTGTATAAAAATTAATTACCTCTCCTCTAATCAAGTCATTAATTTTTAAACTCCTTCTTTAGGGACACAGAATCTGTAAGTATATGGAGTTCCTTTTGATAACTCTTTTTTCTCATATATACAGGAGGTACACACATCTTTCAAGTTCGAGGGCACTTACCTCATTTAAGCAAAAGCAACGCTAAACTTCACCAGATTGTAGAAGCTTCTCAGCGTATTGTATGTACAAATCAGACATCTTTAAGCTTCTTCACCAAATTCTGTACAAAGACACATACGTACATGACTTATCTACTTATCAAGGCTGTCACAGAGATTATAAACCGCAGCAACCAAGAGAAATGATATCCCGAATTCCCAATATCAGCAACAAAATGTAATCAACATGTTTTCAGAAAAAACTAAGCCTACAAGTTAGTTTCACGCTCCACAAAATGCAAGAAAACCAAGGAAAGAAAAACCCTTTTAGTTAAAGCTGATTGCTGGATCATATGATATAATATATAATAAACATTTGATGTTGCAAGGCGGAAAATGTGTGTTACACCTCAGTTTAGTTTACATAATCCCCAACTATGTATTGTGCACATAATTTCAGTTTGAACACAAATCTCAATAACAAATATCAATGAACAATAATTTAAAAAATCACAAGTACGTACGTTTATGATTTCCACTACCTGGCCGACTCCACTCTCACCAAGGAAAAAGAGGCTGGAATTACAACAGATACATGCTTTCAGGTTGTACAAATGAGATGTTTATTAGATCCATAAAAAAAAGGTGTAGCCTCTAGTAGACCGAATTGAATCTGAAAGACCCTCCCACCTGTCTAAGCAGCAATTTTGCCAAAACACATCCACCAGACCAGATATCTATCGCAGTGGTGTACTCAGTCGCCCTAAAATTAGTTCAGGCGCTCAATAGTACCTTGAACAAATATAAGATATGTTTGGCTCTCCTTTTACCTATCAAAAACACATCAAATGTAATGCAACACAAATATCAATGTAATACATATGATATAAACATGGGCACATACCAAAACTGTTGCACTTCCAAACTCGCATAGCTTTACCTCATCGGTATGTGGGTTTACCTGTTAAGAGTTAAGGAGAATCATACACTTCAGGTATGGTACACAAAATGATAAAATAAATTTACAATCAACCTGAACCTATCTTGGATCTTGGATAAACTATATAAATACATAGTCCCTCTCAAGGAAAGACACCGGTGCAAATTTAAATGTTAAACAAATGATGCACGCACATGACATGGACTAATAAATTAATCAACCAATGTTATGATTTATATCTCAGGAGAGAAGCATACCAACAGATTTTGAGGCTTGATGTCCATGTGACACACTCCAATATGTAGAGAAGCATACCAATAGATTTTGAGTCTTGATGTGTAGGCCACGGCTCTGAAAATCTGCAGCATAGTCAATGAAAATGGCTTAGTGATCATACAAGATACAACTAAAGTTGAACATGGTCACGTCGATGTCGCGTGGGGGGAAAGAGAGATCTAGTAGTGCACAAACATTTCAAGGGCCTGTAATGAGCTGAAAACAATGTATACAAGTGAATTCAGCATCCACGTTATACACAAAAATCATTCCCAGTAAAACAGATTCGTCTTTAGTTCAATACCTAGCCAAGAATATGAGCACTTGAATGCGAGTATGGTTCGACGCTTTTCCTTCCATCATCGATCAAACAAAATTTCCAAATTTTGTAACCTGAGGTTCATAATACGTACCTGAAGCAAACAAATTTTGAAATTGAAGTCAAGCCAAAATCCAAAAAAGATAATCCAACAATCTCACATGTACAACTTACAACTCGGTTGCACAACTCGACTGTTCCCGACAAAGGCAAGAAAAAAACGAAAGGAAAATAGAAGATACAGGAGGCAAGCAGCAAAGGTTGTACCTGATTTGTACAAAATTTCCAAATTTTGTAACCTGAGGTTCATAATACGTACCTGAAGCAAACAAATTTTGAAATTGAAGTCAAGCCAAAATCCAAAAAAGATAATCCAACAATCTCACATGTACAACTTACAACTCGGTTGCACAACTCGACTGTTCCCGACAAAGGCAAGAAAAAAACGAAAGGAAAATAGAAGATACAGGAGGCAAGCAGCAAAGGTTGTACCTGATTTGTACCTGATCGTTGCTGCAACAACTTCGACCACGACTTCGCCCAGAGAGTGGTGGTGGAAGCCCTCTTCTTCAAAGCGGAAGCCCCGCACCAGCAGCGGACCCTGGCCGTGAACGAAACCCCCAACCCAATCGCCGCTTCGTGGAGCACGCGTACAAGTACCGACCCATGAAGGTGGTGGAGTTTAAGCTGCTACGTCAGCAGTGCATGGTGTACCTTGACCTGAAAAGGGAAGAAAGCAAGAAACCCTAAGTTTCTTTGTTTGAAACCTTGCTAGGTCTGTTGGAATCAGTTGCCTCATCTGCATCGTGTCTGTTGGAATCACTTGCCTCATCTATATGGTCCCGTCTGTAGATTGGAGAAGAAAACAAAAGCAACGATCAATAGAAATTTGAAGGTGATGAGTTTAGACGAAGATGGAGAGTTTTCGAAAAGCGGTGAAATCCGAATATGGTTGGATGAGAAAGTGGGTGGGGGGAAGATAAGGCAGAACCCACGAGAACCACCAGGGGAGACGCCGGAACGACACATATCAGCCCCATCCTTATCTTTACACCTCTATTAATAATTTAAGGGACCAAATTGCCAATATACCAAACTTTAGTGCCAAAAATCTGAACCACTAAAAATATGAAAACTTATGGGCTATTTTTGCCAAAAAATCAGGATGTTCACTATTCATAAAGATGGTAATCTTTAATATATATATATATATATATATATATATATATATATATATATATTATAACTGTATAATAGATATAATATATTAATTATTTTGAATTGTATAATACATCTATTATAACTGTATAATAGATATAAGAATTCGTATACTAAATTGATATAATATATTAATTATTTTGAATTATATGATAATATATACATCTATTATAACTGTATAATCTAAATCGTTTGAATGACTTTTACCCGCGAGTTGCTTATGAATAAAATTAAATATAATATATGGTTTAATTTTATTTATAGTTGTTGTTATTGTTAATTAATTTTTTATAATTTATTTGTTTAACGTTTTAATTTCTATCATTATAATTATTTAAAACATTAAACATTGTTTTTGATTTTAAATTTAACAATATAGTCATTTATGTAGGGTCATTTTCAACTATTGTTATTGTAAGTTATTTTAAACTACTTATTTGAAAATTTTTAACGATTTTAAAAATATATTCAGAAAATATTTTAGTTAAATTGAGATTACAATTTATTTTTTTCGTTTAGCGCTACAATTTATCACTTTTAACTATTTACAAAATATTCTTTGGGTTTTTAACTGAAACTGTAACTTATATTTAAATTGACACAATAATGTTATGTTTAAATTAACAATTTAAGTATTTTGTCCAAACTGTTCAAAAGTTGTAACTTTAAACTGATAATGGTTTACATACAACACCATATTAAATCTAATAAAATAAGTATATTATGTTAAAAGTTAAAGACATAACTTTATAAGTAGAAGTAATATATTATTTTAATATTGAAATTTAGTTTATTTATGATTACACTTTACGTTTGATATTTATTTAGTATTATTAACCAACTTATAATCATTATTAGAAAGACACTACAATTTATCACTTTAAACAATTTACAAAATATTATTTGGGTTGTTTAAGTTAAACTGAAATTTATATTTAAGTTGACCATGTAATATTATATTTAAATTAATAATTTAAATATTTTATACAAATTGTTCAAAAGTTTTAGCTTTAAAATGATAATGGTTTACATTCAAAAATATATTAAAACTAATAAAATATATATAATATGTTAAAAGTTAAAAAACATAACTTTATAAGTAGAAGTAAATATATTATTTTAATATTGAAATTTAGTTTATATATGATTACGCTTTAGGTTTAATATTTATTTAACCATATTAACCAACTTATAATCATTATTAGAAAGAAATTGAAAAGTCATGGGAGTTTCAAATGAATGTGGTGAAAGGAAAAATGCATGGGAGTTTCAAATAAATGTGGTGAAAGGAAAAATACTTCCTTTATAAGTATACTAGGCGAATCCCCGCGCGTTGCGCGAGAATAGAATTATATAGTTAAAATAATAACTTTTACCAAATTATTATTTAATATTTTCTACTTTGAAACAAAATGTTAGTAGTAAAGCAAACGTATAGTTAACATATTAGTTTTATTAAACATTATAGTTTAATTTTTAAGTCATTGTGATATATACAATTATTAGATAATTTTATAAAGCATTTAAAATTGTGTAAATTATATATCAAATGAATGATAATATAACGGGTAACAAAACGTATGAACAAAAATATTAACTGCCACTTTTAGTAACATAAAAATAGAAAAACATCTATTATAACATTTGTATTAAAAAAGATATATATACAACGCATAATAAAAAATATGAAAAATAAACACTATAACTTTTAATAACATAAAAAAACTAAAACATCTATTATAACATTTATATTAACTCTTCTTATTTAAATCACAAATTTCTTCAAATACATTAATGTTTTTAATGAGCAAAACTTCACAACCTTATAAAAGAAAGGAAAATAAAAATTTATTAGTGATTACTAATTAATAATCATAAGTTAAAAACTCTTGGGTTGTAACTAATAAATATACATAAATTAGAAAACTCTTGAGTTCTAGTGTGAGTTTCAAATGAATCCGGTACTTGGAAATGTATTATTATTATTATTATTATACTCATCTAAATAATTGGTTTTGAAACATCATTTTAACCCCTTCAGTTATTAAACATAAAGATATTTAATTATAAATTTATAACATACATATGTGCATATACATGTTAAACAAATCACATATAATATATATATATATATATATATATATATATATATTCGTAAATGTCATATGTAATTCTTGTCGTAGTAATATGGATAAATTACTTTCATATGAAGAACATATCATGATAAGTCTATGATAATTACATATCAAATGCTCAAAATTATGTTATCTTTTAAATATTGTCTTTTAAATATGTTGTGTAGGATAACCCAACAAAAAAAATAATAGAAAGTAAACATAATCAAAATAGAAAAACTACAATAAATTAAATAAGAGCATTGGGTGGTTGAATATATAAATAAAGATGTTACATAAACATACATTTAAATCAAAATAAAAAACTAACATTCGTCAACTTTGCTCAAACAAAAAAACCTATATCCATTTTATGAATCTTCTTTTTTCATTTAACACCATTCAACCATAGAAACTTGATGACAATTCTTCACTAACCTGCAATAATATTTTTCTTGAAAAAGAAGAATCAGAAATATATTCCAAGCAAAACATTGATGTTTGGAGAGTCACATTCAAGATTGAGTAATACACACAAATCACATATAAAGATTAAATGAGAAACTGAATATAAAGTAAGAATAGAAAATCTTCATTTGTTTTGGTTGAAAGAAAAAATCATATTGCAATTACCATCGATGCGACATAACCCATTTCTTCAAATCATCATATTTGGATCGTGAATGCTTCAACTATATGAAAACTTTTGAATAACAATATCTTCAAATGCTTCTTACATGTAAGATTTTATATAACACAAAAGACACAAAAGATTGACATTTTTATAGTAAACTTTTCAATAAATGCTAATTAAACATAATATAAGTTATAAAACTTTTGAGTGTTAAATCAAAATTAAGAAAACTTTTGAGTTGCATTAGTTCAAAAAGGGGGTTTCAAATGAATGTGGTTTGAGGAAGTTAAAAAATGGGGTTTTAAATGCATGAGATTCAAAAAAAAATACTAGCTTTATAAATATGTATGATATAGATATAGATATAGATATATAGATATAGATAGATATAGATATAGATATAGACATAGATATAGATGTAGATATAGATATAGATATAGATATAGACAGATAGATATATAGATATAGATAAATATAGAAGATTTGGTGTTATATATAGCAGATTAGTGTGACCTACCTTAAATAATATGAGTGAATCATCTTAATATCTTTGGCAACAATATATAATAATAAATCATATTTTTAGAGCCCGTGTTCTATGTTTTAATAACCCAATGTTTTTATTGTATAATCCAATATGCATAGACAAATAAAAATTAAATTAAAAAAAAAGTTAATGTGCCTCACAAACAGTTTTCACAGCTACGCATGAAGCTTCTACTTCATTCAAACCAACAATCATATTATAACCATTTGCCCACCGCAGGTATTTTATGCAATTAGTCAATTTTATTAATTTTGTGCACAATAAGTAAAATATATGGTAATTCTCTATATTAATTTTGTTAGTTTTGGAATTCTGCTATCATGGTTAGTCGGTGATTCACAATTGACAAATCACAATTCATTAATTGCTCCACTTCTAGCATTTGTAATTACTTAAATGCCGATTACAACTATTTTAATAATATCAAATACTTACTGTGGATTTTTTTTTCAATTGTTACTTTTGATTGCTTTATTCCATGATTCTAATTTCTAAACAAGCTTTTTTTTATTGTTTCTAGTTTTCAATGTGAATTGATTATTAGATTGTTGTTCATTTGTTTTAATATTTGATTGTTGTTTGTGAATTGTTGTTTGTGTCAGAAATTAAAATAAAGAACATATTTATTCAAGTTTTAAAAAAAGAGTGATAAAAAAATAGTAGAAGAAGATAACAAGCAACATAAGCATATGAGAGTTGATTTATGTTCGCTACCTGATAAACCAATAGAACGACTAGGTATGGAATATTATCTTGTGAATCAAATAGATGAAATTAGAAGAGCATACTTGCAAAAAAAACCTTTTCAACCTCAAAACTATAAGTTTCCACAATGTGCTTTTGGAGGTAAACAACGAAGATTCAATATATCTTGGTTTGATAACAATAAATATTTGTTAGAATATAGTATAAAAAGAGAACGATGCATTTTGTTTATGTTGTTATCTATTTAAATCCGATATACCAAACCAAGGTGGATTGAATGATTTTGTTGTGACAACCGGCAAACTCCTGGTCAAAGTCAAAGTCAAGTCAAGGTCAACGGACCATCTGGTCAACTCAACTAGTGCTTGTATGTTAGGAGATTCTTTGTGTTTCCTAATGTTCAACTATAATTCCTAATGAAAAGTAACACTTGGAAGTCTCAAAAGTTCAAAATTTAAAACCCTAATCTGATTTAGGGAAGTAACAGCTCTATAAAGCACTATTGAGTGCCCTTCGGGGGTGTATAACACTCAAAATAGAATGTATCTAAGTCTAAGGACCTTGCACTACGAATAAAAACACTAATGAAGGCTCCCGACCAAGTCTCTCCCAATCTCTCCCACTGTATCTCTCTCTCCCAAATCTCTCCAAGAAAATGAAGCCTTTTCCTAAATCTCTCCAATAAAATGAAGCCTTTTCCCAAATCTCTTCAAGAAAATGAAGCCTTTTCCCAAATCTCTCCAAGAATATCAAATCTCTCCCAAATCTCTCCTAGTATGTGAAATCTCTCCCAAATCTCTCCAAGTATGTG